ATTAGCAGCACAGCCTGAATGCCCAAACATCCACTGTCTGCTGACTTTAACCTCCTGGGATGCTGGGATTGCAGGCCCTTGGTAGGAAATAGAAGTGGGGCAGACATAAAGGCAAGTTCCAACTGAAGGGTTGACCAATAGCCTTAATACTTTTCAAACGTCCATTAGCATAATTTTGGACTAACAGCATTATTACTTTTCCAGATCCAGATAAACATAAATTTGGACTAGTAGAATTGACCCAAGTGCTATATAGACCCCTAGACTAACACACTCAAGTGGCAACCCCTATGGAGTCCCCTCTTGTTTTGTGAGAGCTCCCTTTTCTTCCCACATGAATAAATTAGCCTACTCTATTGCACTCACTCTTCTTTGTGGATTTTATTCTTCAAATTCATGAGACAAGTACTCAGAAAGAAGAAATTGGTGGTGAGTGTCTGCTGTCTGCTGCAACACTGGAGGGCACAGCCAACCATTAAGAGCTGCAGCACATTTCTTGGCTGCAGAGGCTTGCAGTATAAACAGATCTAACCTGCCTGCAGAAGCAGAGATTCTCTGCTTTCAATGCTACATACTTCTGTATTTAATACCACTTGAAATAAGAGAAAAATGAATTTTATTTTCTTTTTTCCAGACTAATTTTTATTGGGATTTCCTGAAACCTTATTTAAGTATCAGAAGGTGATGGTATCCTCTAACAGTGATTAACATTATAAAATATGAGGTGAATGTTTTCTAAAAAATTGATTTAAGGAAGCTAATTTTCTATTAGATTATATATATCCCCTGAAACCAGGAGTAGTAAAAATCAGTATACTATTGGAGAAGCTTGAGAGTATAAACACTGATTTTGAACTTCTTACAGTCAAATTCTGCCTTGGCCACTCAGTGTCTTAGTATATTTACGTGTACAGATGATAATAATATCCATACAAACCTCAGAAGATTTTTTTTTAAATGTAAAGTGAAAACATAAATAAATAATTTGAAACAATATGTGCTGCATGTTAAGAATTTAGAACATAAATGAAAAGTCTATCTGCATCACATATTGCATATAATACAAAATATGCAAAATGTTTATATGTGTATTAAGATGCATATTGTCTCTCTCATTTCCCTTTCTCCCTCTGTATGCTCTCCAATGGAAATGTACTTGCAAGTTCCGTGAGTGCTGTTTTCATTTCTTTACTCTTAAATCCATACCACCTAGAGTAGTGCCTGGCAGATTAAATATTTTCTTAGTAAGATTTTTCCACTTTTAGAATTTGCTATCGCAGGATTGTAAAATTTTCCTTGGACATTCATGCTTATCATTTCTTACTTAAATTGGTGAATTGAACCTTATTTATATTTTATTTTCCACTTTTGATTTCTTTTAATGTGTGATTGCTTTATAAAGTTTGATGCAAAGCATAGGATAATCTAACTTTTAAATTTTAATTAAAGCAATCTAGTACTTAGACCCATTTCACAAGCCCTCTAGTGAATAGCAATAATTTCTAGTTCATTGCTTTTATGTTACTTTTGAACTATGTATAAATATAAATTAAAGAATATATAGATTTTTGAATACATTAACTAAAACACACCAAATTTTTAGGTCCTCCTTAAGTGCTTTCCCTCTAGTCACATGCTCAAACATATTTATTTATTTATTGTTATTGCTTTTTTTTAAAAAAAATATTTATTTTAATTTGATATACATGACAGCAGAATGCATTTCAATTCACAGTAGACATATAGAGCACGATTTTTCATGTTTCTTGTTGTACATAAAGTAGAGTCACACTATTCATGTCTTCATACATGTACTTAGGGTAATGATGTCCATCTCATTCCACCATCTTTCCTACTCTGATACCCCTTCCCTTCCCCTTCCTCTCCTTTGCCCTGTCTAAAGTTCCTCCATTCCTCTCATACTACCTCCCCCGACACTCATTATGGATGAGCATTCACATATCAGAGCAAACATTTGGCCTTTGTGTTTTGGGGATTGGCTTACTTCACTGAGCATGATATTCTCCAACTCCATCCATTTACCTGCAAATACCATGATTTTATTCTCTTTTAATACTGAGTAATATTCCATTGTGTAAATATACCACAGTTTCTTTATCCATTCATCTATTGAAGGGCATCTTGGTTGGTTCCACAATTTAGCTATTGTGAATTGAGCTTCTATAAACATTGATGTGACCGCATTACTATAGTATACTGTTTTTAAGTCCTTTGGGTATAAACTGAGGTGTGAGATAGCTGGGTCAAATGGTGGTTCCATTCCAACTTTTCCAAGGTATCTCCATACAGCTTTCCAATTTCCAATTTGTTTGCACCAATTTGCAGTCCCACCAGCAATGTATGAGTGTACCTTTCTCCCCACATCCTTGCCAACACTCATTGTTATTTTTATTCTTAATAGCTGCCATTCTGACTGGAGTGAGATGAAATCTTAGTTTCTCATCATGTTGGATTAGGCCACAATTTCCTTAACAAGACTCCTGTAGCACAAGTAATAAAATAATGAGTAGTCAATAAATGGGATGGATGCAAACTGAAAAGCTTCTTCTCAGCAAAAGAAATGATCAGTGAAGTGAAGAGAGAGCCCACAGAATAGGAGCAAATTTTTACCACAGGCACATCAGGTGGAGCACTAATCTCCAGGACATATAAAGAACTCAAAAATCTTAACATCAAAAACATCCAAATACCCGATCAATATAGGAAATGAACAGACACTTCTCAGAAGATAATATACAGTCAATCAAGAAATATATGAAAAAATGTTCAACATCTCTAGCATTTAGAGAAATGCAAATCAAACATTTATAATACTTAGTTTTTAAAAATCTCTTTTAGTTCAAGTTATGAAGTGTAGGCAAAATTTAGCCCTATTACTTTATACTGATAGAACAGTATCATCTGTTAAGATGCCATTCTCTTTTCTTAGTTTTTTTTTTTTTTTTTTCCATTCCCTTCAGCTTTCCTTTCCTCTGCTGGGCCTCATACCTGCCAGTCTCATCAGGGGGCTAAGTGGCTCTATGTAAGTTTGTCCTTGGTAGCTCTATGCCTACTCTTAAGTGCCCAAAGTGGCTATAATGGAGTAAAGTGATGCAGTGTTGAAAACCATATTGTAAATTAAAGAGTCTCTGTTCTTATGTATAAAAAGAAAAAGAAACAAACCTATAAAGCAGCTGTGAAAACTAAAGACACATATAATGCTACAGTTTTGATTTTGTATTACTGTATTACAGTTTCCAAGAAACATTTTTTTTAAATTATAAAAAAAATGCAACTATTTTGTTTACCCCATAAGCATTTTTGAGGCCCTTATTATGTGCCTATCGGGAGAGGTGATACAGAAGAAGGCAGAGTTCTTAAAACAGAGTACAGTTCAGCAAAATAAAGAACAAAACAAAGAGGTATGGGAGCATTAGAAGACATGCCTAGATCTGCCTGTGGTGAGGTGGGTGTGGTGTGTCAGAGAGCACTTGGGAAGTATTGGTCCTGCTTGGATGTCAGAAACTATTTCCTACATGGGAGGAGAAAGCCCTAAAGACTGATGATATTTGTAGTTAAGCCTGTGCTGTCAGTATGCATGCTTGTTCAGGATATGTAAAATATTTTCAAAATGGGATATGACCATTCTTCAAAAACTAAGGGGGGTGTGTCTGTGTAACCCATGTAAATAGTCAGTAGTTCTTGAAAAAACATTCTTCCTTTTTTGAGAGAGTGGTTGTTAAAAAATTAAATCCAAGCAGTTGGTTTGAAAATTGCTTTTAGTTGCCTGTCCACATAACCAAATATGCCATTCAACTGTGGGTTTTGGTTACAGTTCTGGTATAAAACCTTACTAATTGGCCAAATATGAGTAGACACTCACTAGAAAAAATACAGTGGGTTCCATTGTTGAATATTTTTAAATCTGCAAACAAAATAGAATACTTTCATTAGCAAATAATTTCCACAAATTTGTTTTTGTATTAGGTTATAGTATTCCTAATTTCAAATAATAGTGATTTTACTAAGAACTCAATTTTAATTTTATCCTGTTGACTTTTTGCCCTATCTCTAATTTCTTATCTATTTGGTGACACAATGCTTGAATAGATGATGGCTTTTGTCACTCTTTTGACATATGTGTAGTTCCTTGACTTTCTACTAAGAGCAAAGTGCTACTATGAAAATACTGTGATACATTTAAATATCAGAATAAATAATGAAATGGATGACTGTTTAAAGCTATTAAATAGATTTACTAGAAATTTTAAAATTTGGTATGACCATTGTCTTATTACTAGTGAACATTAAAATGTAAGGAAGATGCTTTGTAGGAAAATACTCTTTTTTTTTTTTGGAAAAGAATCTGGCATATTAAATTTTAATTTAATAACACAAGAAATGGAAAAAATCATGATATCTTAAAGAAAATGAAGACAAATAAAATCCTATTTATCAAAGATTGAAGTAAACTCGTTTTGTGTATTTTTCTAATTTTTAAAAAAAACCTTGAATCTATCTTGATTTTTATAATCATAGTCTGTATGAATATATAAGTGTATAGAGAATGTTGCATTCATGTTTGGGGGCACGTATGATTATGTACTAAAACATATTAAGGTGTTTCTCAATTATTTTACACAGCAGTTTTCGAAAGGTAAAAGTGATAAGATATATATCAACATTTTAGTGCTTCTTGTTAAGAAACTAGGCAAGTTCTTAGAAGTCTTAGAATTTGTTTTAAAACTTGTATGTTCTTTTAATTAGGAAAATATTTAAATTTTGTACCTACCAGATTCATTCACATGTCCAGTGAACATGCTTCAGATGTATCCTGAATTGCCTCTTTTTATCATAGTCTGTTGCTATGACACACTAAGCATTGTGAATGAAAAATAGATTTGTCAAGTAGCAGGAATTACTCAAATAGTTCTATATAACCAAAAAATAAAATATTTTTTTTCTTGGTGTTTAATTGAATCTTTTTTTCTTTTTTACAGGAATGTTTAATTTGTTAAGTTGGAGGAAAAAACATGGATTTTTAGTAATTGAAGAACAAACTAAGGTAATTGATAGATTATTGTTGCCAGTCATATTTACTAGTAATTTAAAAACTATGTTTACTGTATTTATGTTCAAGTTAGCATATGCTTTTATGAGTTTTTGTCATATCAAAAATGCAGCACATGTTAAAATGGAATTTTATGTATTTTGGGGAAATAAATTGACATTTATTAATATAGATTAGGAAAATAAATCGATATTTTCTGAACAAATTACAACTAATAGAGTTAAGCATACTTTATTTTGAGGAAATATGCTTTAGCTATCTGAAAAACAAATGGGCTAAAAAATGAATAGATTTATTAGCTAGTTGAAAAGGTATATATGATGTTATTTATTTAACTAATGAGAAATAAAGATGCTGATTTGTTTTTCAGTTGGTACATGGACAACATATGAATGTCATTTTTAATTCATTTGATTTTTCTTTCATTTTCATTTAATTGTGAATGAGTATTAGGAGATAAAATATGTTCATTTGATAACAAGATGTTTAATATAAAGCAAGTTATTCTCAAAAGTGATGATTACATTTATCACAAATATATTTAAGGTAATCCTAGTGACTTGAGAAGCTCAGGCAGGAGAATCACAAGTTCCAAGTGAGCTTCAGTGACTTGGTGAGAGCCCATCTCAAAATAAAAATTTAAAAAAGGGCTGGGAATGTAGTTTGATGGTAAAGTGCTTTGGGTTCAATTCCTTGTATCAAAACCAAACCAAATCAAACCAAGCAAACAAACATTTATAGAGTACAACATGAACAATTTCAGAGTATAACCTTAGGTTAGCTCATGTATTTATATTTTTCCCAGCAAATCATAGAAGGCAGAAAGAACCTTTATATTAAGCAATCAACATTAATATTGGAATTTCCTTTATACTTGAAATTACTGAAATTAAATTCTGTAAAGAACTTTGTAAATGTCTAAAATGTGAGTTATTATTAATATGCACCCTAAAATTAGAAATATCAACTTTTACATTGTACATATTACAGTAATTTCTGTTCATTCAATTTGGATTACTAATATAATTGGTATATATTATAAACTACTATCAATCTGTTTTCATAGATTCTCTATTTTCTCGTTGCCTTAAAAGTGCTGAGTGAGTTAGCACTATGAAAACAGTGCACTTGCCTTTGTAGGTGGTGAAATTTTTAGACTGATATTCCATCCTTTAAATATTTTTGCCTTGATTTCTCCATCACTGCATTAATTTCCCATGTATTATTTTCATTTTTTAGAATAGATATGATTGAATCTTTCATTTGTATTTATTGGCTTATTACATTCGCCTCTAAATTTTGCAGACATTGTTCTTCTAAACTGAAAATGAAATGGTTTATTTGGTACTTAATGTTAGTGAAATAAATTAATCCAGTTAACCAAAAAAACAGGTCTATTCAACCATTCCTTTTTGTAAAATAAATAAATAATTAAATAAATTAAAATTAAACCAAACAAGACTTAAATGCACTTCCTCAGGAGACATTAAAAGCTAAAGGTAAAGATGAAGCTCTAGGTACTGTTGTACATACTTTCAATGAGTTATTGACAAACTCTTAGAAAAGAAAGGTAGAAGCAGTTCAGTTTTCTCGGTGGGTCTTGAAACCATCATAGAAGCTGTGAAATTCACTGGAGTGAAGGCGAGGCATTCCCAGCTCACAGACTGATTTGTGAAGGAGCAAGGAATGGCCATTAGAAGGACAGCTATTTTCAGTGTTACTGAAAGAGTACCGATGTGATGAGAAAATGTAGCAAGATGAACTGGGAGAAGATTTAGAATAGCTCACGGATACCATGTCTGCCATAAAAAATGACTTTTTTTATCTTGACTGTCTCTAGCATACTCAAGAATAATGGAAATAATGTTTCAGAACAATAGTGGAAATCGTATTTCAGAATATTTCCTCATATTTATTTTCATTAAAAAATATAAGAAGGAATTAAGACAATATTTACTGTAATGACTATGACAGCTTCCAAATCTGAAGTATTTGAAGGAATCAGGGATTTTACCATGATGAATGGTTGGCAGTGTATATTTCCTCATTCTTTAATTAAGATATTATTAATATATAATAAATTCACCCTTTTAAAATATATTGGTATTTGTTATATTCATAAGTCAGTCAGCTATCACATTACATACCATTTTAAGCATTCTAAAAGGAAACCTTGTATCGTCTGACAGTTTATACACATTCATCCCTCAGTTCCTCTCTTGGCAACCACTAACATGGTTTCTCTCTTTGTGGAATTGCCTTAAAAATGAAATCATATGGATGAGCTTTTATATCAGTCCTTTCACTTAGCATATTTTCAAGTTTAACCCTATTGTAGGATGCTCATGACTTTCTTTTCATGGGAGAATAATATTCCTTTATATAACACATTTTATTCATTCATTCTTCAGTTAAGGAACATTTGAAGTATTTTTTTACACTTCTTTTTGGTATTTATCTCATATCCTAAGAATATTTGGTTTTGAGTGTATATGGTAATGATAGTACACAGCAATGTGAATATCAGAATTTATAATAACTTTATTCCTGGAATATAAAATTAAAATCTCTTTTTTATCTGTATTTAAAGTTATGCTTTATCTAGTAATTTACAACTTTTTACTAAACTTCATGAAAAATCTATTGAAGTATTGTTTGAGATTTCCTGTAGGGAAGGAACAAATTCACTGGGGGAAACCCTCTCTCTTCCCACTGTGGAAAACTGGCTGTAATTACACATGAAAAATTGTATGGGAACAAATAAAATATATTACTTCATCATAAAATACTATTGGAAGATGATGTAGAAAGTATTGCTTTAATCAGGAAAAAAACCCAAGTATTAGACTAATTCATGAACTATGAGAAAATGTAGAACTCTTATGTAGTACTGTTCATTTGGAATGTATGTGTAGGCAGAATTTGTGTGTGTGTGTGTGTGTGTCATTTCCAGCTTGTATCAATTAATAGTATTTGCTAGATTGTATTATTTAAAGTCTGGTTTATTGGTGTGTATTTCCAATAGAATGAGCTCATCCTTTAAAATGTATCATTCTGCTTTAACAAGCAGATAAAGTTACGTGTCACCAAAATCAAGGTATAGAACATATTAATCACCCTAGAAATTCCTTCATTTCTATCACTAGTCTACCTCTTCCCGTACCCTCAACACTGAGAAACTCAGGATTCTAGTTTAATAATAAAATATGAAGCAAGGGTGGAGAAAGAGGAAGTAAAAAGCTCACACTTTGAAGATAGACTCAATATATGAATTTGTTGTACTTTCTCTGGGCTTCACTTTCCTTGTGTGTAACATGGAGTGCATAAAATTTACTGCCATACAGTAGCGGTAGACATACCTTAAGCACAATGTAAATGTTTATAAAATAAAGTGCCGTTTTGTTTTGAACTTCAATAATGATGTGCTTGAGGAAGGGTATTTTCCATAGTAAATGACCCACCTTTTTTTTTTTTTTTTTTTTTTTTTTGAGGTGCTGGGAATTGAAGCCAGGGACTCAGACATCCTAGGTTCTACCACTGAGCTACACCCCCCAGCCCAGTAAATGGTCTCTTTAAATATATTTAACCAAACATCAAATCAAATTTTTCCAGAATAAAAAAAAAAAAAAGCCTATTCAGTAACACCATTCTCACCAGAGTTCTAGGCACAAATCCTTGAAGTAATTCTTACATTCCCTTTCTGACATGTTGCATATTTATCAGCATCTTCTGACTTCTCCTGAGTACCTCCTAGGTTACTACCCTGATCCACATCAGAGGTCCCTCCTGTCTGGATAACATGCACCCACCTGACTGTTTTCACTATAAGTCTTCCATCTTAAGCCTCCTCTGTGCTCTATCTGCCCTGGCTTCTTTCCCTGTGAAGAATACACCAGGCCTCTCCATCTAAGATCTCTAGCCTTCTTGGTTTCTCTTCCAATTAGTTTCCCAGTTATTCATGTGGCTTACTTCCTAAACTGCAAACATCCTCCTCACGACAGCCTTCCCAACACATGCTATTTAATATTGAAACTGAGAGTATGCTCTGCCCCCATCTGCTTTATTCTTCTCCAGAATATGTATCGCCATAATATTATACAAAGTTTGATTTAATGCCTCTTTTCATTAGTTCACACATTCTAAGTATCTTATCTTTATAGCATGCTTTTAGTTTCTCTTTTTATGTGTCTATAAGTGTACCACTGGCCTTGCGCATGAATTTCTGTATTAGGTAATTCTGGAAGTTGTGTGGGTGACTACATGAGTACAGGTATTTTGATTATCTGGAAGATGTCTGCAGTAACTCAGTTGATATGATGATGATCCACTTTAAGTGAATAACAGTGGGGATTAAGGGATAGTAGCACATTTGATAATATTTACAAAGCAAAATTGATAGATCTTATTGGCTGATTACACTGAGTGCTGAGAGAGAAGTTGAAATCAGGGATGAATTTCAGGTTTGAAACTGAAAACTGTGTTGAAGATAGTGCATTTACTTGAGCTGAATATCCTGGATGAGTTCTGTTTTTCTTTAAATTTGTGTGTGTGTGTGTGTGTGTATATTTTACTTTATAGAAGTAATGATGTAATGTTTTACAGAAATAATGTTGCTTTACAGAAATAATGTTGCTTTACAGAAATAATGTCCAGAACTAGGTATTAATTTTCATCTTGATAGGAGTGACCTCTGAAAATATAAGACATTAAACAGAGGTCATGAATTGTCTTACTGTTTTACACTTTTGTTTGTAGAATTTTTACTTAAAGTTTTGATTTGGTATGAAATTACATTTTCTAATTAATTTCAAAACCATAGTCATAAAGTGCAGGATGTAAAAACTGGCCATGGGCAGAGTAAAAGCATATTAATTATTCAGACAGTCATTCCTGCTTATTCCATTCTTGGAGATATAGTGGCTGTCACAATCTGTCAGCTGTATAGTTAGTGCCCTTCAGAATTTGCATGCATAAATGGTAACCTTTGGAAATCT